TGGAGACATCAAGGTATATTCAAATCTGATTGATCAACGTTGACTAATCAGATTTGAATTTACCTTTATGTCTCCAAAAATTCTCTTTTCAATAGTGAAAATCGCAGCTCTCTATCGTCTTTCTATCGAAAGTTATTTTGATCAACATAAGGTCTCTCCTATTATGTTATTGATATCAGTGTAGTGACCTCGCTTTTTTATCAACGCTGAACGTTTCTACCTAGCCTATATAAATCTTCTCAGTGAAATTATTCTACTTTTTCATATATTGTACTTTCGAAAGAAATCCACGAATGTGGAGGATATGATTACATTAAAACTCCTCTGTATAAGCGCCTTCTCATTCTGTGCAATGATTTATTATTTCTATTCTCATGAGTAATAGTCACCTCCGTCAAGTCAGCAACGTATGTTGGGTCACTCATGTGCTGAACGAAAAAAATGATGTCATGTGTAGTGCGTTATTAATAATCATGGGACATATACAAGAAAGAGATGGACTAATCGGGTGTTTTTAGAAAGAAAAAAAATTAATTAGACAGCAACTACGGTACCTGATGAAAGGTGTGACAGAAGAGATGATCCACGTGGACACTCACACCCTTGTGTTGTTAAAAAGTGCTTGCAAATAAATACTTATAATTTGACAAAACAGCTAAAGACCTCATCATGTTAACACTTGCATTGACTGAGCACTTCAAACCAGTCCCGACGATGCTCACATTAGAGAGATTTTATTGTATGTACATTCAGAGAAAAAAGGACTCGTCCTGTTTGATCGTTTGTTCTTTTGTTCTTTTGTTCTTTTGTTCTTTTGTTCTTTTGATCTTTTGATAGTAAACACATGATCATAAGTTTGATGTCAAAAAAAGCATTATAGAGAACAATGTCTTTTTTCTTCTCTCTTTGTATATATATATACATATATTATATATTCGTCAATCACTCGAAATATGATGGATGTATTAGTTGAAATATACGTTATTGTAAGTAAAATATATTCAAAACAGTTTTATACTCGATATTTTGGCTAATTATCAACACTACTACCTTACCTATATATATTCATCATGTTTCGATATTTATATACGTATATATATATATATATATATTTTTTTTTTCAAAGATGAAGTCAGAAACTGATTTAACTAGCACACACGCATGTCGAAAACGATTCGGTGTTATTTGGCTTTTTATCGAAGTCAATATTGCAAGTGCAAACATATTTGGATTCGCTGCACTTTTTGAAGTCTTACCAAAGTATGGCATATATGATGAATATTGTCATTCAGTGGAAGGTGTGAATTCGACAGAACTTGATTGTTCACAGCAAATACAAAAATATCAAGTAAATATTCTCAAAAACTATTCCATTGATCTAATTCACTGAGAATTTCTTGTATATCTAGGATGCATTGAATTTAGGCATCGTTTTTTATAACATACCATCAATATTTATTGGAATTATAATTGATGTTTTTGGTTGTCGATTTATGAAATTGATTGGAGTGTAATCATGTTTTTATAAATAATTTTTAACAATTAATTTCAATATTTTTGTAGATTGTTTCATGTTATGGGATGGCTATCATTGGCTCTTTTGAAACCTGATAAGTATTTGCTGAGTTTTTCTAGCTTATTTACAACAATGTTTATCCATTCTAGGTCATGATTCGCTCCTGTTTGTTCACACGGTTTTTACGGCACTATCTGGAATTATTATGCAACTTACGAGCTATGCATCAACCAGTTATTTTTCAAAATCCAGACCAATTATATTAACACTACTTGTTGGTTCATGTGCATCTGCTACGATATGGTATTCAATATTTCAAGTAATTATTTCAGTTATAAATAAAATCATGTCTTGAACTATTAGATAATCTTTTTTTGTTTAGATCCTTATCCATCATAATCGAATTACACTGCCAATATTATCTTATATTTGGTTATCATTCGGAGCACTTTTACTTATATCATCGTTTTTATTTCTTGATTGGAAGTTTCCGATATTGAATCTTCCATATAAGCTCAACATAGAACCGGATCATCATCCAGCAACGCCAACAACTAGTAAAAAGACTTTGATCTGTACACTTCTGTTTTTATTTCTAACGTATTAGATTCTCCAACTGAGATAAAATGGTATACAAAAATTCATCATCGAATTGGAATTTGGAAACATCTAACCAGTCCTTTATATATATTAGTCGTTTTGTTCTTAAGTTTTCTAATCCTTCCGACTAATCTTCTATCCGTTTCTTGGTATCCATGGGTTTATTTTATCACTGATAACGACAAAGACCAAGGTAATGAATCCATAGTGTCATTGATTTTCATGTTTTAATCAATAAAATTTGAGTTTAACTCTTCAAAAAATCATAGATTTTTTTTTAGTTTGTTTTGTTCGATTGAAATTCAGAAATTAAAAATTTATTGATGAGATAGTGATTCACTCTCGGTTTCATCCTTATAGATATTATGAAACGTAATCCTAGCTGAGTTCATGCGCACACCATCAAATATGAAATAGTCTACACTCTAAAAAGAAGGTCGATTCAGAGTTAAAATTGAATTCATCCCCACAACTAGAGCTTCCAAGTAACTTTAATGAAATTCATATTTCAGGAATCGATCCACACTCGAACAATAAATCTAACGAGGAAAGTTTTCCAACTGTCGAATCACTTTTGAATCGAGACAATATGCGTTATGTAGATTCAAATGAGTTGTAAGTACCAAAAAAAAGAGTTCGTGGTCTTAGTTTATTGCTTCGGCGATACTGCACTTTTACGATATTTTTTTATGAGTTGTTCATTGTGTAAGTTTCAGGGCTTTTAATTTGCTTCTATTCTGAAATAAGAACATGCAATATGCTGGTTCATATGAGTGATGTAAGAGACACGCTATTATCATAGCTTTATCTTGGGATAGGAGCTGCGAAAAGACTTGAACATTTTACAGAAAACAATCCTCCTTAAGACCTCTGGCTATGCAAAGTTTCGAGTCAAAATTCGAAAATTAATTTTTCTTTGACCATGACATTTGTTTAAAAAATACGATACCATACACTTCTCAATTTTACAGTGTATTCCGAATTCGAGATATCTGCTAGCATTCGATTTTGAGTGGTTCTTTTTTATTTGAATATATGAAAATCGATACTAAAATTATGACACAGAATTCATTCTCATCTAAAAAAAAAGATTCTTAAAGATAGTTAATTACCATAGAAGAATCAGTATTACTTCGAACAGTCTGATGAAGCGATATCGTAATATATAATACATAAATTGCACGTATTTACGCTATAACTATGAAATCAAACGGCAATAATGTAGAGAATCAAACGAAAAAAAAAGATATGCCACTTGTTTGAGCCAGGGGTATATTCTTTCAGAGTTCACAAGAGAAGAGTTCAATTGAATCACGACTAGAGTCCGTCGAGTCAAACATTTTCGCCATTGGACTCCACGGCGTTTAATCACGAGGGAGATCACAACTTTGACTCGATCAAATCATATATCATATGATATTGTTTTTGTCATGCCAGAAAACCAAATGGAGCTTACATTTGAAGTTCGAATGTTACAAGGACATTGGAATCGTTTTTCTTTTATAAACTTTCCAAAAGTAATTCTGTTTTTCATAGCAAGTGAAAGAGCTGATAGAAACGTTTGAGGGACTTTTAAAGAAGCACTTCTTTGCACATAACTATTTACCACGAATATTACTTAACAGTTCATCATACGGAGGACTGTTTTCATTGTTACTTAACTTTTTAATTCATCATTTCAGCGCAGATTTAAGCTGTACGTTATGATACTTGATATTTGATCAATAATTCGAACTTAAGTCATAAGATATGATAAACAATAATCGTATTCGCGTCTCCAAGTTTCATATAGAAATTATTTTATTTTAGCTGATAAGTACACGTTTGCGTTCAATTTGTCAACGCTATCACAAATTGCTCTCTGTCCGATAATTGGTGTGTTACTGGCAGTTCAAACACATCGAGGTGCGTATAAAGACGTGTTGAATATATGCCAATTGTATACATTCACTCAAAAGAACTATTCGGACAAGAATCTATTGTCATTCGTATTTCTTGCTTTGTGAAGAGGAGGAAAAAAAGAATAAATAGAATGCTTTAACTTTTTACCGATGGACAACTTGAATATATCTGTATGTTTACAGTAGATAGTCGAACTACATTTTTTTTTAAAGAAATTGTTTATAGAAGTGAGAAAAAGCTGGTTGTAGTAGTTTTTCGAAAAATAGTTTCCTGCTATAACTCGAGTTAGTTTTAACTACTAAATGAACACATTTCAAAATGTTAAAGAGAAAAAAAAAGATCCTGTACTTTCAAAGGAAGAAAACAGCAACATTCTGAAAATTAGAGATAAAAGTTTGCCGAACTTATTTTACTAGATTACATAATATAAAGCAAGTACTTTTCATCGGTCAAATGAGAAGGCACTTGTTTTTATTGAGCACATTAAAAGTATGATGTTACCGATAGTTGTTAGGCTATTTGATCAATATCTATGAATGTTATGATTAAAGATGAACAACGAGACTCAAAAATGCTTCTGGTCCTTGTGAAAGATTTGCATGTCTTTGTATACACTTCAGCGATAAACTATTATTTGACCTTGTATTTTGTAAAGATATGTTTGCTTTTTCAATCTATATGTTGTCAAATATACCACAGGTGTTCGCTACCACTTAATTCAGCAACGATAATGAACGATAACAGATTGATCCTGAAAATGTGTATCCAGTGATTGTATTTGTTGAAGTCATTGATAAAGAGGACCTGTAGTATATTTGAAAATATATAGGCTAAAAGAGCAAAGATTTCTTTAAAAAGATGCAAGTTCCATACTTACCTCTAGTTGTAAAATTGATATTTAGGTCAAAAGCATAAACTATTGACTATTTCAATCTGTCAAACGTGCACATGGATATTGAATATCGTCACATGTATTATTTGTATGTTTGTGAAAATTGGTGTTATCATTCCTGCATTAATACTCGCCAACTTGGCTCGTTCATCAATTGCGGCTGGTACACAGATAGTCGTGGGTACCTGGTAAGTCTGTTATTCAGTGTATATTCAATAGTGAGAAATTTGATCATATGATATGCATGAGCATGCTTCTAATTATCCATGAAACTCGTTCGCATGATTTAAAAAATCTGATAAAAAATTCTTTTGTTTATTTAGTTTTCCATGTCAGTATATCGGTACATTGATTGGTCTTATGTGGACAACAACAGGAGTGATTACTTGCATTCAATATGGGCTTGTTAAACTGACGGCTGATTTCCATGAATCGTGGAAAGTAAGAAAGTGTTAATAGTGATATAGATTATAATTATTTTCTTTTTTTCCAAAGGCATGGGTTATCGTTTTGGCATTGGTTATAATGATGTCTTGTCATTGGATACACTTATGGGTGATGTATGTCCAAGAACTTCGCAAGCATGCACCAGCTAAATCTGAAACTTCAGAAAATGTTCATTAGCGATATTTAATCGTCTCTATTAATTAATAAAGGCTTATTCTTGACAGAAACAATGAATGATAATATTATAGCGACATACTTTCGTATTCAAAATATATATTCATGAATTATTATCGTAGATAATGATGACTTTATCGAAATCTTTATTGTAAAACTTGAATTGTTTCAGAATTCAAAAGTGAATATCACTATGATTGTGAAGTGAAAAACAAGTTTACTTTTTATTTTTTCCTAAAACATTGATTATTACGAATGTATAAAAGGCTTAAGACAACTCGTTTGTCATGTTCCCATCAATGTTCGATTTAAGTTTGAATTTTTGTTGTCGTTATGTCGCTTATCATACACTAAAAGGAGTTAAGTTCAATATTTTGTCGTTTCAGCATGAATATCAAAGATGCTGTTGTGTGAAAATTTGAAATCTAATGTCACTTTAATAACATAATCTATTTCATTCTCAATCTTGACTTTTCGAAGAAATCTACCAGCTAAATTGAAACAAACGTGAATCAGAAACACTATATCCTAGTGTACAATTCCCTATATGAGCTGCTACTATCATCTTTAATAGATCCTATGCACTTGAATCCCACTCAACCAAGAGAGCTTCTCGATTTTGCCTGTAAACAATCGAAACTTTCATGCATTTTCCTACAAAAATATGATAAATGCAAAATTCAAAATCAATATTTTGATACACCCATAAGATAAGAAAGGAAAATAATGAGCGAATTCCAGTATTTTATATCGAAAATTCTCCGATCGGGTCGTATAATCGAATACAGTGAGTACTGATTAGAGATTAAAAATTCAGCTGATGCGATCAGTTAACTCAGAAAGAGCGAATAGTCTGATAGTCAAATCTTGCCAAATACCACAACCGGTTTGCACCAAATGTTTCAGGCTGGTCATCCTTACTGGTCTTTCTAATAACGATGATATTTCTTGCGTTGATTCGGTTGATTTCTACTGGATATGAGCGGAGTCGGTCAGCAGTGTCCAGATGTCGTAAATTCCTAACATATGTTCGGTAATTTTGGGTGTTGGTGTGCCTTCACTGAAACTACATAACACCCATTCCATTCGTCCGCATTCGTACACACTCAATGAAGACAGAAAGCTGGCTTAACGCCTTCAGTTCCATCGTCTAAAGTGGGTATTAAGTGGCAGCAAGGACAGTCTGTTTACGAAGAGATAGAGGATGTGGATGTGGGTGTGCGTGGAGTGTGGGTGGTGGGTGTGGGTGTCAGTGTCGGTGTGCGTTGGGTGTTGGGGGGGGGGGGGGGGGGGGGGGGGGGGGGGGGGGGGGGGGGGGGGGGGGGGGGGGTGTGGGTATGGGTGTGGGTATTGGTGTAGGTTGGTGTGGATGTGGGATATGGGCAGGTGTGGATGTGTGCATAGGGTTCACACATAGTACATTCACACCCACACCCAGCCACACCCACACCCACACCCCACACCCACACCCCATACCCCACACCCCACACCCGCACCCACCACACCCCACACCCACACCCACCACACCCACATCCCAACCAAAGGATTATGGCAATGCTTTAGTAGTGATCCAATGCTTCAATATGATACATATACCAATATGACATTTATTTATCGACGAAATCTCACAACAGCTGATCGTTGTAATAAATGGAAAAGTATTGAAAATTTACGAATGACAAGTGCTAAAATTCAAACCGTATCTATACGATGTCGAAAAGCAAATGTCGTTATGATGCATTCTCATGTTACTCTTGACGATGGCATTGCGGCTGTAGATGCATTGGAAGGTATTGTTACATGCCCATGTTGTAAGTGAGCACCTTTTCAACAAGAATGGCTTGGACAAATACCACATTATCAATATACAGATTTAAAATTATTAACTGCAAAGCATAAAATGAATGTATGGTATTTTTCACAAGGTTGTCATAGTCAATCATCGAGTATTACAACGACTGAAGATAAGTAATCTCCAACTGAACGTAATAGATATGGAGTATCGGTACAAGTATGATTGAAAATGTATTATCTAATTGGACTGGAGTGAAACAACTAGCTATTCAATTATGGTGATAAATATTTTCAAATGGTATTCAAGCATTTAATACTAGTTATATAAATCAATTATCAGATAGATAAAGAAATATTACCATTTATGAAATCATGTACTGCTTACAGATATTGGAAATTGAAAAAATCAAATTCCGTAACGTGTGGCCACGCCCTGCTTCTATAGTACTTAATTAGCACATTCGTATTCGTCGTATAATTTTCTTATTTCATCTCCGTCAGCGATTTTATCCTTTTCTGTTTTGTTGACATGCTGCCGTAGTAAGAATAAAACATATTAAGTATAGTTTCTTCATTAATTTAATCAGCGACTTTAATTTACTCGCTTAATAAGAAAAAGAATAATTGTACACGTTCTTTATGCATATAGGTATACACTCACATACGAGAGGAAAAAGTATTTTCAATTGCTCGCTATATGTGCGGGGAGATGAACGAGCTTTGCATGTTCTTTCTAAATATGGCCCCACATATGCAAAAAGCAATGAAAAATATATGCCGAAAAGTACAGCATACAAAAAAGAAGAGATGATCGATACTCATCGAGGTACAAGTAAACTCTTATTGGGATACTTGCTGGGACCGAAGCAATCTAGATTATGTGAGTAGAGGCGTTGTTAGCCGTAATTTTGTTTTCATTCAGCAAATAAGATATATCTACTATATTTTTGAAATCAAATAGTAGCATCATAAATAAATACCAGAAGTAACTGAAGGGAAAGAATCAATTTGTCTATGCCTATGAGCAAAACCAATGTGTAGATATAATAAAGATTACCCATGGCGTAAATTTCTGCGAAAAAAACGCGTTCTCAAAACGCATTTTTCCATAGTTGTGAAACGCGTTAATGCTGACCGGTTTAACGCGTTTCACATCTGCTAAAACAAACGCTGTGGAACGATCGTTTTTCTAAAAAGTTTCGTAGCGTTTCTCAAACTGTAGTGTCGTATATTCTGGATGAAAAAAAATGATAACCGTCAAGTGCTTCATTGAAGTTGGGTTGCAGATACAATTCATGTACTCGTTTGTTTTTTTTTTCATAGACCTTTAGAACTATAACTTACATAAATTTTAATAAAGTCAAGACATAGATTCGAACACCAGAACATAAGAGTAGAAGACATGTGTACAAGCCATTCAACTAAAATAATCTATAATGATATCAGTGTTTATTCTACTGTCATCCAGAGTCTCACGTAAACTTACTAAATTAGATTTCTAGTTTCCCATTTCAATGAATTAAAAATCAACATTTCCTTGGCGCCTATGTCCAATTACAAATGTGATCTCCTCTTGATATATTTTTTATTTAAACTCTTTCAAACTTAAATTTAAATACCCAAGCGAAATGATTTCGATTGATTTAAAGTGTATTTAATATTTAAACAAGTTGAATTTCTTAGATATAAACTTTAGAAAATTTAAAAATTAATCTTTTTAATTATTTTCTTGATTTAATGGATTTTTTGTAAATTTAAATTCGTTATTCTTTTACCTAGTCACATCACTAAATGAAAAGGAATTTTCTTCTGTAAGTCGAATCTCTTTTATTAAAAAGTCACGCTTACATCAATAATGTACGAACTAGGATCATATTTAGTGGTCTTGAACACAGTATCATCGGTCACTCTCAAGTAGTTCAAATATGAACTCATACTAATAAATATTCAAATTATACATAACGCGAAAATTCTTTTGTTCAGAAATAACCAAACAAAGTTGTCGTATTCATTATATTAGCGTCAGTCTTTAATAAATCTTTTCGAATTGTTCAATGTTTAAAAACAATTCTTTGTGGGATGTTACGAAACGTGTTTTCTTTCAATAAAAAAGTAAAGAAATGAGTTTTCAAAGAAGAAGAATATCTTTTTGTTATACTTCGACGTTCAATATTAGTCTTCGAATCAGATTTAGATAACAGTCTAGCAACCTAAACTTTTAGAAAAATTCAGTTGTAATCTTGCCTTCAGAAAATTTGGGCCATGATTTTCATGTACTAAAACAGTGCAAGGAGCAAAACTTTCAAGTGCTATTGCATATTATTTCCAAAATAATGTCGAAAAATTTTTTGCTTAATTCATATGCTTTATATGGGTGAATTCCTGCAAGATTCTATATGAAGAATGGATACATTTTGCATCATTCCAAGCAAAAACAACGCAAAACGCGTCCGAAAAAGGAACGCGTTTCACGTTCCCCCTCCCCCTCCACCCCAATTTGTATCTGTGGAACGCGTCATCTGTCGACCGAAGTGCGTTCGGCAACATTTTACTTCTGAAACGCTTCGAAACGCAACCTCGAAAAAAGCGTTTTGGATCGTTTCGAAAACACGACAGTAGCAAAACGCATTTTATCTAAGTAAGAATGTCGCGAAACGCGTTCTGTATTAAAAAAACGTTGCGAAACGCATGCTACAATCTCGGAAACGCGTTACGCGGTCCGTTTCCTTCAATATTTTACTCCATGGGTACGACATCATGATTTCAAAGTTCAAAGACAATTGAAATGTCATTTTAGTAAACAGTGCCAATAAGAGCAGTCAATTTTTTATTTTTAAGGGTAGCGTATGTGATATTTAGAGCAAAATACAAGAAAAAAAGAAGTTATAAATCATGGTAAAATATTCGATTCGTCATCGCTGTTGTTCAACTCTACGATCAGAAAACTCACAATAATTTAACGCATCAGTCATAGAATTATGATATAGTGATGAGTTGGATTGTAAAGTTTTCCGACTGTGTCCTACAATCGAAAGTTAAAATTACGAGAGACCCCACATGTAAGTAGCAACGTTGTGCGGTACTTCTGCTCAGATACGCAAGCTATATCATCATCAATTTTCTGGTTATTATACTGAGCATAGATGTTATATTTGGTTTTTGTTGTTTCATTTGTGAGCACGTTCTCTAATTAAGCGTGGTCACTTGCATCTGAACAATCTTTTTAAATTGTTCGATAATCGTCTTTCTAAAAGTCTTCAAAAAATCATCTTTGTTTAGGCTATTTAAAAATCAAAATTAATAAAGAATAGCGATCATTTCCGCTGATATTGTGAAAATAGTTCCAATATGGATTTTTTCGTTTAACTTGACTCAGTAAATGCAAATTACAAGACTCACTGATGTATCAGGAATAACTTCTGAAGGAGAACGCGAGATTATTACCTGTCATCATTGGGGTGACGTTCTTCCACTTAGCTTTCATCTATTGTGAGAAATTGTGTTGTCTTGGTTTTCTAAGTCGTGCTTTTTCTGTGCTTTCGCGTATTCATTTTCAAACAAACTACCGTTTCGGAATTTGTTCAATGGCATTTTCAGGAGAATTGTCAACAGTTGTTGTTCGATTACACTAAGATTCTTTGAAAATAAGAGCTTATTAGTATATTCACGATTTCTTTTTGTATAAAAAGAAACTCCTTACTAATACCGTATAGTAAGCAGATAGATGATCGTCTATTGTTTTTATGTATTTTCCATTTTTCGATATTTTCACCACTTTTTCCCGATTTTGAGATCATGTTTAGAAATAGCACGTTTGACAATTATTGTGTTTGCTTCAAGTCGACCTAGAAAGAGCGACTTGGTTTCACAGTTCTCTCATGGTGTAATTCGAGTAGAGCAACTAATTTTCTTCATTAAAACAGCATGTTGACTATTCCCAAATGAATTTTTAAGGATCAAATCAATCAAAAACTAACCAGAAATAACTGATAATAGGATATCTTACAGATTCACTCACTTTTGGACCGCTCATTGCATTTTAAAGCAAAACAATATGATATTCATGATTAGCAGTGTCAATAACCTGTAAATCGTCAAATTTTAGAGAAAAAACAACTTGCCCTGAGCAAAAATATTATAATTTTCATCAAAAACATCGAGAAATGAAAACTGGTCCATTAATATTTTGCAAATCAAATCATGTACAGCTTTTTATCCTACTTCTTATTCAAAATTCTCTTTTCATGTAGACTATCAGGTGGATAGAAAATGACTCATCAAATTCCATCGGTAAAATAAGAATGTGTGGTTGAATAGATATCAAAACCACTAGATCTCAGAAAGCTCAAATACTTGCAAACCGTTGATAGATTTCATTTTTAAATTAATATTTTCTTAGTGACATTTTTTGCACAAGAATCTTCAAATATTTTTGTAGGTGTGGCTGCCTAGACACATAAGGACACCCACCCACACCCACATCCTCAAACAATTGATCGTACTTCATCGATTTTATTTTTTAATCTTATTGAATATGTTGACATTGGAGAAATCATTTCAATTAGATATTCATCTTTCAATCTTTTAAATATTGCAGTGTTCAAATAGTTAACAGTTTTTCAAATGATCTGTTATTTCGAAAGAAGAGAACACAATTGTCATGTTTATTACTGGACTTTTAAAGAAAGCATCCAATTTCTCTATTCTTTTTTTTTTACATCAAGTGTGATTATAATTAGTTTCTTGTAAATCATCATTGTTTCTCTAATATATTTTATACTTTTCCATCTTGCAAGCTTCATAGAGTTCTTTTCGTTGATCATGTTGAATAAAAAAATATTGTAAATTTGGCCAAAAAATCATGCTAGCGTCAAAATATTTCCAATATTCATTTCATAGAAATAATAAAACTTTTTTAAGATATATTTTCACTTCATATCAATTTTATTCAAAAAGCTTGATTCCATTTTATAATATTATTAATGAAATCTTCACTATCATCCAAAGAATGATCACAATTATCAG